ACACTGATCTAGGTAGCATTACAATGTGTTTCGTTCCTTTAAGTAGAATTCGGCTCAATTCTGGCTCGGAGAGTTCGCAACAGCACCATTGGTGACTTGAAACCTGTCTTTCGGGGTTGTGACGTCAACAAGACAACCTACACTGGCTGCGACGTCATCAGTGCATGCCCGACTCAAGAGCGCGAAAACCCGTGCCCAAGTCCCCGCAGACATCCCTTGACAAGGGTACCCGACGTGGAAATGTCTGATGACGAAGCCGGGAGCCAATCACGCAGAGTGAACGGGGACCTGAATTATGTAACGCTATTTTCTCTGAATCAATTTCCCGACCAACAAACAGGGATGAATTATTGAATCTGGACGGAGGAATTCACAGCGCTGCGCGCAAAGCGAAAAAATTAGGTCGGGAAAACAATTTCGTTTTCCATGAGTGGTAAGTTCGGGCGCTTCCCCTATTCTCTATTTTGAAAGTTATGCGGCAGGCGCTGCCGAGGACATTGTCACTGCCACGGGCTCTTAAAACAATTTATGAGTCGAGTTTATAGAAACGAGCCGTGTTCCTCGTAAGTCGCTGAGTGTACGCTTTTTCTTTCTTTCATTTTTTTGACATTGAGAGCTTTCGTAACTCATTGTCAGTGCATTTCGAGATACTTTCATAAGAAATCCCAGCCAAAAGAAAAAAAATCTATCAGAAAAAAAGAAGAAAAAAGTAGCATTTAAACAACTCCATTTACCTCCTTTTCCAAAAATCGTCAATTTTTCAAAAATCCCGTTTAAAAAAAGCTCAAGCGTTTTTGGGCATAAATAATCCGATGATGAATGAGACTTTAGAGGGTTTACATTACTATACCACAATCGTATTAGTCCGATAGCAGCTACGGCTTATTCCGTCACCACATATTGAAGGAGATTTCTCTCCTCCCCGCATAAATATTTTTTTCATCGATAATACAATAACTTTGATGTATGAGACAGAACGAGAATAGGTATCAATATCCTCAGGACTACGCAAGAAGTATTTAAAATTATGTGCTTGATTTGGTCCCCGGCAAAAGACAAGACGTGTCATCATTCTTTGAGGATAAGTTCTTGCAAATTCATACAACATAAACCCCTCAGATCCGCTAGAGGATCCTCCTTTGATGATTAACTCGTGATCTTGAAATTTCTGCTGAGCTTAAATTCAGCCTCACCTGATTTTTTTTCTTCTTTTTTTTTCAAAAGGCACCATTGTATATTCATGATATTATTGAGAAAAAGTAATTCCTAAAAATAAAATGAACATCATTGGTGGAATTCTCCAAAATTTCATACTTAGGATCAAGCTGTTAAACATATTAAAAGAGGCTGGGATACCGGTACCCTGTGCCCTGGTAGTAGCACACAGACCCATCCATGATCTATCCTATCGCGCGAAGAAGAGGCGCTAAAAGTTATTCAGATTTCCGAAACGAATACGCCATTTCATCTAAAGGAACCTAGTGCAGCTATAACTGTTTGGCCCAAATTCTTCATCCGATCAATACACGACCAGCGCAACAGCCGTGGAAGGGCGGGAAATTTGAAATTCAAATTGGAGGGTTGCATTTTGGCTGAGTGCGGTTCAAACAGTTGTGCGTTGGGCGGATCTCTTTCAGTGTTTACTCGATGCCGTCAAAGAAAGAGACGATGCCAAATCTGAGATTATCAAACAAATATGTTAGTTTACTCTCCATGGATGGAAAATCTTACGAAATGTATCGTGCAATTTCGGGTACTTAATGTTCATAAAAAGTGAATGCATGGATTATTTTTTTTTAGATATATTTAAATTAACCTTGACTTAATAAGCCGATAACACAATTATGACGTGAGAAGTCCAAGTTGAAAAATGTAGGAATTTCATTTCTCCGATGTAGTTTCGATGAGGATTGTACAGTTCGCGCAATCGAGCTTTGAGATTCCGGACCAAATACTTTCAGACAGAAAAGGACGTCATTAAAATTGTTTAGATAAATGATGATGAAAGAAAAATAAAACCGTTGTAACATTGTTCGAAACAATTAGCGAGTGCGCTAGGAAAGAAAGGAATTTTCAATATTTGTCAAAATTCTCAGACTCTCGGAAAATTTTGTCTCTTTCAATGTTTTTCTCCACTATTCTTTGGCAGAGCTGATGAGGAGACAATAATTCTATGAAAAAAATCCATATAACCTGACGTTAGCATTAGATAAACTTCGTCACGTCTCTGAAGTAAGGATATAACATAATTTTGAGAAAAGCCCTGAGATCCGTATCATCCAGTGCATTTCAGGGCTTGAGTTAAAAAAGAAGTAATCAGGCAAATACATTAAAGGAGCGACGAATCGTCAGAATTCTTATCGTTACGAAGCACTTGAAGTGACATTTTATATTTCAGGTATGGCGTTTAACACCTTTAATGTTACGTCTGTGCCTGGCTAGTTGAAATAAGAAAAAAATTGAAGTGGCAGTGAGTTTGTAAGCTTGATTCAGTTCTACAAATATCTGAGTAAGCTCACAATAATTAAGCAAAGCTAGGGGAAGGAGAGGGTCCACCTGTAGCCGCTTCGCACTCCCAACTCTCATGGACTATCTGCATGTGCCTTCAAATAAGAGTCATAGATAAATAGCACGCATGTAGATGACGGTAACAGTCAAGTTTCATACGTTAGTGCGCCTTCAATGACATTTGATACCGTGCAATACTTTCGTGGTGGAATAGTTGCATTGGCGCCTACAAACCTAACAGGGATACTGCATGCATTGCGCAATGAGTGAAGTACCCCTGTTAGGTTTGTAGGCGCCAATGCAACTATTCCACCACGAAAGTATTGCACAGTATCCAATGTAATTGAAGGCGCATTAACGTATGAAAATTGACTATTACCGTCAACCACTGTTTGGCAAGTGGTAACTTCACGCCGACTAAAACATTTTACAGGGTCCAAATTTTCAAAAAAGATACTCATGGTATAATCACCGTGTTTTAGCGCACTTTTTCGATGGCTTTGAGTTTTTTTTAGGTCTAGAGAGATGATATTGAACTAAGTCGAAACTCACGATTTTGCTCAGAAAAATGGCAACGTCGCAGCGTGTCAAAATTATCAGAAGGGGAGCATTGGGAGCCTCTAAGTTACGAATTTCACACTCTGATTACAATTTAGGCATCTGTAACGTTAATTTCTCGAGAAGGAAAAATCATCAAAAACAGTCAAAAATTCGCTATCTTCATGCGTGAAATTTTCGCCAAAGGGCATTTCGGTCAAAAGCATGGAGGGGGTCCAAAACTTCACTAGGGTGTAGTTTATGAACTAATTTTGCCCTCTGTTTAATTTGCAGACCCCTCCGACTTCATTTTTTGGGGAGCGAAAAATTACTGAAAAACAGTAAAAATTCGCTATTTTTGCTTGGATAAATGGCAACTGCGCATCGGGTTAATTTTGTGCAATTGACCCCAAATTTCATTTTCCGTGTTTTTGAACATGCTGTAACCGATTTAGGGGGTTACGGCTATAAATTTCCGAAATTCATTTTTTTTGGGCCACCCTACTGGATAGCTCCAATCTCATCGCTCGCTGAAAATTGTGTGTTGCGGTCCACTTTTCAGGGAACCACTCAACGATGCATCGGTGATCTCCATTTTCAGCTCGGATTTTCAGCGTATGAAACGAGCATATCACGAAATTTGAAGCTTCATGACGAGGAGACCTGTTCGAAACAAGGCGATCATTAACGAGGCTCAACAATTTTGCGGAAACATGTTTTTGCACTCAAGCCCCCGAATTATTTTCGGCTTTCG